CAGCTCTCACGTGTAGCAGAGGATTACAGCTAACACAGTGTTACCAGTTTTAAATTTCACTTGTGCACGCAACTAGGTCAATGACCTGTAGAACACAGTAGAGGCTCTGAACTAGACAGACCTGTGTTGCCTCCCTTGAGGGAGTCCACCACGTCCCCAACAGAGCTCTGAGCACCAAGCCAAACCCGGCTTAACCTCCCAGATACACCCCATTACTGAGGCCATGAAACACGGGTCGATGTGGGTCTCCTGATTCACACTGATGTGTTACCTACCAGGGACTGATCTCACTGAGCTCCTGGTCTCTACCCACCCAGAGAGCCAGAGGCCATCGTAACCTTGGGTCTCCATACTGGGTGGGAGGGGGCCCAGGGCAAGGTGATTTCCCTGCCTCTGATCGGATCACCCTCTCCCTGGCTGGATCACCCATGCTGGACAGGACTAAGCTGGAATGACCCAGAGTTTGCACCGCATGTCAGGGGGTTAATAAGAAATTCCCTGGTGGGAGAAGTGCTGATCCCACTACGATGGCAATAGCCTGCTACCCTTCCTGGATCACGCAGTCTCTAGACTCAAAGTATTTTCCCAGAGGAAGATATAAACATGTCCAGCAAAATGGATCCTGACTATAAATCCCTTTGGTGAGAGGCGCTGCCTCCTCCTGTTTGAGTGGAGGCCCCTGAGCTCCCTTCTGGAACACACTCCCCTCATGGGACGGGGGCTGGTCCCAGGCGGAGGGGGCATGCTTTGCGAGAGCCCCTGGCCCAAACGCTGGTGGCAGGGAGCTGTGCCTGGCAGTGGAGGTTGCAGGTCAGGGCACAGACTCACTGGCATGGTAGCTTAGCCCCGTCTGGAGCAGAGGCTCCTATTCTGTCATGCCACATGGTGATACCAGTCCTGCCTGCCAGAGAACCAGCGAGCCCACAGGGAAATTCAAACCAAGCCAGAGGGCAGAGAACATGGAGGCCATAACTACCTGTGTGTCTAGGGCCTGACATGAGCCCATTTCCTTGTAGGGCCTGAGCTCCTTGCAATCATTCATGTATTCATCCTCCCAAGGCCCCTACGAAGTAGGACAGGGCTATTATCTGCATGGTTTGGATGGGGAACCGAGGCACAGAGAGGCTAAGTGACATGTCCCAGGTCCCACAGGCAGTCTGTGGCAAAGCTGTGCAGATCTCCTGAGCGTCACAGGCACAGGAGCTAAAGGCAGTGGGTTAAGAAAAGGCCAAAGGCAGCAAAAGGGCTGAGAGGGGATCAGGAGAAAATTCTACCTATACGGGAGGTTTATGTGGCGGGCATCTCCAAACAGCAAAGCGGTGTGAGGGGAGAAACATCCCAGGTTGGCAATGCCAGATGGGAAGGGCCACCTCACGGTGAGGGCACAGGCATCTGCTCTCCCACCCTGCCAGCAGCCAGGCAGCACTGGCGAACAATTGGCTTGAGCCACGGACTGTTGTGTTCTCTGCTGTGGCAAAGGGAGACCTCAGCAGCACCCAGCTTCCCTGTTCCTATCACCGCAAGCCTGAGAAGGCCCAGGCCCAGCTCCAAACAGCACCTCAGCCTCTGAACATTTACCAGCTAGCGTTAGAGAACTGGGCTGGGTTGGGAGCGGCTTCCCCTCGGCCAAGACCCTGGGAGCCTGGCTGTGCTAGCCTCATCTGGGACTTGCTCTTCGCCCCACTCACTGAATGAAGAAAGAGCTCAGCTCAGTTTCCCTGCCCCATCAGTCACTCCTGGCTGTAAAGTAACATTCACAAGATTCACCGTCCCCTGCTTACGCTTGAGAAGGCAAGTTGGAGTCCCAACACCCTCCCCCCCACATCTCCTTGCTGAGAATGGTCATCTCAGCATTGTGCTTCAAATCCAACCCGTCCCACTCGGCACCAATCAGCTTTGAGCTCCTCTCTTTCACATCCAGCTCAGCTGTTTCAGGTTTAATCCCAGCAAGGCAGATATTACCAAATGCCAAGTTCCTGGAAATCCGCCCTGGAAAGTGAGGCAGCAAAACGCCAAGCCGTGCTCACGTGGGAGAAGGGCTCGGCTGTACCCCCAGCATTAGCTGGTTTCTCTATAGTGCCCCAAACCAGTTACCATCGTGATCAGCTTCAGACACAAAGAGGGGAACTGGAACTGGACTTGCAGTGTGAAAAGGGACAGAGCCCTTCTGCTCAGACTCACATACAGAGCAGCTGTGTGTCTGGCTGTTAGAATGTCCCTCTGGCTCTTTGCCGTGTTGGTCCCAGGATCTTGGAGAGACAAGGTAGCTCATATCTTTTACTGGCCCAACATCTGTTGGTGAAAGAGACATGCTTTCAAGCTGAGACAGAGCTGAAGGAGAGCTCTGTATGGGCCTGACTTACCAAGTGTTCAGGGACTTGCAAGCTTATTCATGGGGTCCCTGAAAGGAGATAGAGCCCCCCAGCCACCTCCAAAGCTAAGGACACTCCAGCAAAGCAATGGGCAGACAGGGCTGGTGCATCATTGGTCATTTTCTTTAGACTGTACGCAGGGAGTGGGTCTTCTTTGGGATTTGGAAAATGCCCGCCACACTTTAAACAGCTACTGTCATCGTATAGCAGAGCAGCCAGCCTGTCTCCTCTCCACACGATTAGCCTGGCTCCTGGCTACTAATGAAAGTCCTTCCCCACTGCTGCTTGGCTAGAGTGCTGTTGGGTTCTACATACAGTCATTTAGCGAGGCGTTCAAAACCAGAAAATGGTCCATCTAGCTCGGTCTTGTCTCAACAGTGGCCAGTACCAGCAGACCCCGGGGAGAAACGCTTTCCTGTTCCCAGGTTTTGACTGTCTAAAGTAAATATCTAGCCCTCATTAAGATCTGGATACGTCACAATCATTAATATATCACAACATCCTTCTGCGGTAGGGAAGTGCTATCACCCCCATTTTACAGATGGGAAACTGAGGCAGAGAGGGGCTAAGTGACTTGCCCAAGATGACACAGGAAGTCTGTGGCAGGGCAGACAATTGAACCTGGATCTGCTGAGTCCCAGGCTAGCACCCTTCCAATTCCTCTGAGATGCTGATCAGTTTATGCCCTGAAGCATGAGGATTGATAGCCCCTGTACATTTCTATCCCAGCTAGGGGCAGATTTACTTTGAGTTGCTATTTAAAATTCTTCCAAGGGTCAGAGTCACCCCACTGGTGGAAACCCAAGATTGGTAGGGAGCTGGAGTTGTTTTCCCTCCAGCCATGTTCTGTCATTCCAATGTGGATGGACTGGGCCCAAATATATATTTGGGGAAGGATTCTAGGCCACATATAACATGGGCCACGAGACACATTTCAAACTTCGTAAGAAAGGAAGAAACTTGCCACACGAACTCAGTCTGTACTTTAAGCTGCTATTTAGGGAAGTGCCAGGGAATTGCACCCAGGTTCTAACGACTGCCACTAATGCAATTGCCCAGTATCCACCTGTCCTGGCAGGACAGAAGCAGCAAGCTCTGTTCAGCCCTTGGTCTTGCCCACTATATACTAAACTAAGTGGTGAGCTACGAGTTGCTTGGGACCAAGCCAAGTTCAACAACCTGCGGAGTATTTCAGAGCTCACAAGGCCAGCCCCTAAGCTCCAACAGCATAACTTGACTCAATGCTGCCTATGACCTGGGTCCTATAGCCTCTACCTGGCAGAGAATCAGCTGGGATTATAGGGGTGGTGTCCCTGCACTGCACCCCACGGAAGCCAGGCACTCACTGGTCACTCAGACAGTCAAGGGATGCAGTGCTGCAGGTGGAAATGGCCAAACGGGGGAATTTTTGGTTTTGCTCCTCGATGTGGTTTTAAGTTAGGGCAGTTTGGGCCCCAGATTGCAGGGGTGGGGTGACTCTGCCTCTGATCTCCCTCCAGGCAGCAGCCAGCTGCAGTTTAGTCTAGCTGCCCATCAGTTAGAGACAATCCACGTTCCCTCCAGCACTGGCTGACACTGGAGAGACTGGTGTCTGACAAGCCCTTTGTGTAAGTGTCTCCCC